AACCTTAATTTGTTGATCTGCATGTGAATAACAATACAATAACGATAATAATGACCCATAACAATACTGACAACACGATAAAATCTTTATTTACATTAATCAAAGGGGAAGCAATTTAATGTTCTTTAATTAGCATTATACATATAAAAAAAAAAAACAATTATTACAATTATTACAATTATTACAATCTAAGAAGCGTATTCTGGGAAAATACGCCCCTCTCTTACAAGCTACCTTACATTATCGGTTATGTTAAACAAAGTAAGGCTACCCTGATAAGCCAACGTAAAAGTTATCTACAAAGCAAACTTGTATATCACGATTATTGTCCGATTTGACGTTAAGCTCTTTATTAGCTTTGATCATAATTACTTTTCTTTCATTATTCATATCGATATAATCAATTATTAATTATTAGGATACGAAATAAAAAAAACTCTAAAAATTTGGTTTATTAATCTAAATTTTTTTTTATTAACGCCTTGTATAGTTAAGTTTGAGCACAACAATTACTGAATTATCAAATATATTTCTTTGCGTAACTAAAAGTAGTTTATTAATGTATCATACATTTAAATTTGAGCAAAGCAGATATCAAAATATGTTACATTCAAATTTGTATAAATTTATAAATTTTAAAATAATGCATATTAAAACTCAAAAGAATTGTAAAACGACATGCAACATATATAGACAACAATAAACAACAAATGTCTTTCATCTAAACCCGTTCTCCACGAAGACGTCTTGCGAGTTGGATATCTTTAGGTTGAATTGTCACTCGTTTAGCATGAATCGCTGCCAAGTTGGTGTCTTCAAAAAGAGCTACAAGATAAGCTTCCGCTGACTGTTTTAAAAAAATATACATATTATATTTAATAATTTTTAATAAACGCAATATAAAAATATAAATTTATTAAAATTAATTATTAAAAAAAATAAACTTACTTCTTGTAAAGCTCCAATAGCCGAACTTTGGAATCGTAAATCTGTCTTAAAGTCTTGAGCAATTTCTCGTACCAATCTTTGGAATGGTAATTTACGGATAAGTAGTTCAGTCGATTTTTGGTATCGGCGGATTTCACGTAAAGCGACAGTACCAGGTCGATAACGATGAGGTTTCTTTACTCCACCAGCGGCTGGTGCGCTTTTTCGTGCTGCTTTAGTTGCAAGTTGCTTACGAGGAGCTTTACCACCGGTTGATTTACGAGCAGTTTGTTTTGTGCGAGCCATCGTTAAAAATGTTTTGGTATGTTAAAGTAAAATTTAAAATGTAAAGCCGATTATAATTTGTAACAAATGTAATAAAATGTAAAAAATTTTTTTATTAAAAGAGTTGATTAAAATTGTTGGGTTTATATAGAAATTTCATTTGTTGTGACTTCTGATCTCTGACGCGTAAATCATTATAATTTAATGACTGATCAAAATAAAAAACAAACGTTAGAGTTACGTGTCAGGTGATTGCCATGTGAATAAATTAGGTTACATATAAACACTAAAAACGTGCTGTGCACGTTATCCCGTTTTGGACAAATCGCGTCGCGTCTTTAACGTACTAACGTACGTGGTTTTGACGAAATCGATTTACGGGTTACTTTTTAGAAATTATTAAATGACTGATGACTTTCACGTTATTAACTAAATTGATTCAATTATCTAAATACTTTAAAAATTGTATGTTTATTAATAAAAATTATTATTACATCATTACACGAATTTGTGAAATTAAAACCTCCGAGTTACTATTTGATTATTGTAATTATTACGTGTTGATTACGACATCTATTATTATCGCGTCAAACTTATCTTTTCACCTTAATAAAACCTATTTTCTATTATTTATATAAATATATAAACGTTGACAAAATATTAATAACTAATTATAATTGACTTTTACTAACATATTTATGGTAGTATAAAAACATTATATATATAGTGTTTATTTTTTACATGCATGTACGTGTGCGGATCCAATCATGTTACTGAAAATAAACCAATTTAATTGGATGAAAAATAAACTATATATAATATAAGAAAATTTATTTTCACCTGGGTTAAAGCTATCTGAAATATTACTAATACATAATATTATAGTTTGTTGAGTGATTTTAACCCGAGTAAAAATAGAATTTTATATATATATATAAAATATAATATACAAGTCATTCTTGTTACAGTGAAGAGATCAGGCTGAGAAAAAAAATCTTCACTATAGCTTATATCGAGAGAATACTATATAAACTTTATTATATCGAGAAAAAAGTTAATAATAATGGCAATGAATTTAAAAAAAATTCTTTACTATATCAAGATCTTCACTATATTAAGAGTTCACTATAACGAGAGTGACTTGTACTATTTGCTGAAATAGTTTATAATCTAATTTTTTGTAATTAGTTAAATTTTATTTATAATTGTATATAATTTAAATAATTTTATAATTTATTATTTTTTGAGTGAATTTATTTGTTGCTGTTAGTGATAGTATTGGACATATAACTTTTATTTAATTAGCTAATATACAATTGATTATAATTAACTAATTATAACCAATTATATAAT